CATGTTTACCCTGCGTGTGTGCAGTTTACATGTTTACCCTGCGTGTGTGCAGTTTACATGTTTACCCTGCGTGTGTGCAGTTTACATGTTTACCCTGCGTGTGTGCAGTTTCTCTACGGATCCCCTGGGTTCCTTCCGCAGTCCAAAAATATGCAGCTGGAGTGACTAAGCTGACCGTATGTGAGTGTGCACCTTGCGACACGAGGTTGGTTTCGGTCACATTACAATATAATATAATATATAAACGATTACTCGACAAATCAATTATTGATCTAATCAATTGGTGTAATTGATACTGACAACCCTAGTGTCGATTATATCTGGTAGGTCCTCTTCTCCGTGGTGCAGAATCCTCACAACGTACCGTTGCTGCTTCTCTGGTCCTTAAATCTTCACCCATGCCCTTGACAAACCAGGGCTCCTCATAGAGATGCTATGCACTTGCGCTATCTGATATGGCTTCCAGCAAAGCAGAGTGATGAGCATTGGTGTTCACCAGGAGGGTGTACGGACTGAGCGAAGACGGGCTATGTGCTATATCTCGACGGTTCCGGACTAAATGCCTAGCTAGCCTGGCTGTTGTGAGGGGCTGGAATTCCAGCAAACGTCTCGCATGTGTTTCTGGGAGACCCTCAAAAGCACACACTTGAGTGCCTTGAACCTGTCATCCCCTCCAGTCGCGAAGGTTACCTGATGTGTCGTTGTCTTTCACCTGCAGGGAGTGCCGATTTTACTGGCACGTGAAGCTCCTTTTTCCAGAAAGCAGCACGGAATACAGGGAGAGAAGGTATGAGAATCCTTTCCTCCTCCTCTGGCGATGACCCCGCCGCATGTCCTGACTAGCCTTTCGTAGCGTCGATCTGTTAGCGCTGTGATTTCTTGAGATATGATTTATTCAAAGCGATGAAGGAATGGTTAGCGAGACCCATATGTATTTGGTTAGCTGGAACTTTCGAGCTGTCCAGCGTCATTGACTAACCCTCACTGGATGCCTCTCAACACTCCCTCTCACACACGCTCTCCCTCTCTCGCCCTCTCTCTCTCCCTCCCTCTCTCTCTTTTCCAGGGTGCCAGACAACAGAACACTTAAGGAGATCCTCACTCCATACATCCACCCTACGGAGTCCGAGCCAGTGAAGCGACAGAAGTAAGATTCCTGTTGCGTGAGCGCTAAACTCTACCAGACCCGGGAAAGTGTGCCCCTCTGATTCTGTGACCAAGACAATGGTTTTCTAAAGCTGCTTCATGGCGTCATTCCTGGTCTTATGTTACGATAACTGGGCCCAGATCACGCTGGAGACTTGCAGAAGGTGTCGCTTTTTACATATGATTTTATCTGGTTAGTCTTTAGAGAAACTAGACCCGTTCAATCAAAGTTGAGCTGCCGGTCTAGTGGTTGCGCAGACACCTTGAGCTAGCTATCCACTTTAAATTTGTAGTGAGATATAAACAACTGCCTCCTCATTCCATTTCTTAGCAAATTTAAATGGTAAATCTCTCACAAACAAAAACACCAATGGCCAGAGTGGTGCATTATGGTCCGGGTTCCCTCCATGGACTCGTTTTAGACGCGCACCTTGCCTTCCTAATGCGAGCATCACACAGGGCGCATTGACAGGTCTCCACCAGGGCGCCACCCGCTGGACATTAAGCCTCAAACCCTCTGAGTCACATGATCGATGTCCCTCCCGCGGCTTCTCAGCATGACTGTGAATAAAACAAGCCACAAAAAACAAATCGGAATCCTGTTTTGGTTGACATTATCCTGATGGCACCTCAATATTGATTTCATAGAAGCTTTATATGAGTTTTCCCATCCCATTTTTTGTGCAGTATTATGGTTTGATAGGTGTCAAGCTAATTTAAAACTCTAAAACTCTGGCATTTTAAATTACTTCATTCTTAATAATGAAATGGTTAATCCCTGGTCTGTAGTCTTTAATTTATTTATTTTTTGACTGATTTTAAGCGTATGGTCTGTCAGTCACTCCTGATAGAGGTTTGATGGCTGAGCATTGTGCATCGCCTCAGTGAGTTTGCCCTCCTTGGCAGGCCAATCGGTCTCCGCTCACGCTGAACAGCCTAGTCATTCTTTATCGTTGACTACACCCTCTTCGAATGCTACTTTCCTACCCTTATTTCACCCTACTTATGCTAATTGGGAGTATTTCCTGCAAATCAATCCCATAACCACCCCCCCCCCCATTACTGTGACCTCTCCGCTCTGTTTTTCAGGTTGAAAGTCTACGTGCGTGACTCCTTTGACGGTGTAAGGGTTTTTATGAAAGTGGAAAACAGGAAGTGTAACTCCATGAGGTAGGCATACGTCTCCCGTCCGTGGCCCTGAGGACGCGGCCCCCCAGGGGCTGTTTTCTGCGTTGGCCAGCGGGGCTCATGTTTAGCTGCACCCACAGCGAGCGTTTTGTCCTCGCTAAATGAACCGTGTGTTTGGGAACATGACTCATTTGTGTTCAACATAAACTGCTCTCCAAAGTGCCCTTGTATGCTAAATGGGGAGTCGTATTATGGTCTGTACAGTGGCGGGTGAGCCTCCTAACCTAATTACGCAAACAAATGTCTTACAAAGTGCTTGTATCTAATGTGCTCTGCTGAAGCGTTTGTGAACACTGATCTAACATTGTTTAGAGAATGTCTTGTGCAATGTTTTGTGTGCATGTCATGATGGCATGATATGTAAAACATCAGTTTCATGAAGGTCACCATGTAATATAAGCAGTTAATTGGCATGTCGCAAATAATGCTTATTACAGCTGGGTCTGAACTTTTCGCCATTTTGGTCTGTGTTTCACTTGAAGGTAAGAACAGTAGAGGGCTGTTTTAAAACCCTTTTCCCTGCTTTAAAGCCCAGGGTGTCGAACATCCCCCTGTGCAGTGATGTGTAACGAAGTTCGACATGGGGGGGGGGGGGGGGAATATCTGTGATGTGGGAGATTGGGGGAGTCTTAGAAGTCAGCAGTTGTCCATGTTATTGGGGTTTTAAAGCCTCACGACTGTTCCTTCCTGATGTGAGTAAGAAGGTGCGCTAACAGGTTGATCAGCACACTTCTCACTGCTGGGGGTGTTTTAGACGAATGTTTTCCAATCTGGTCCTTAGGGAGCTGGGAGGGAGCAAAAACATGGACCGACTGGATCTCTGAGGACTGGATTGGGAGACACTGCTTTAGATACTAGAATGATGAAGGCGTGGCTTAGCTCCGCCTCCTATGAGGCAAAGGGGACCATCAAAGCAGAAGCCTGTAGCCTTATGGATATAGCGGTGGGCCTAGAGCTGCATGTTGCCAAGCAGGCTGAGGCGAATAAGTGGCTTGTATTTCCCAAACACATTGTTTTGGGTTGCCGACACTTGGCTTGTTAGTGTGACATCTATGGATCTTTTTCAAACCTCGCCATCCCGCTGTTTAAGTGAAGATCTGGAATTTTCACACTAAAATTTAAGTACTACTGTATAGTGGAAGCAAAGAGAAGTATGGGCGGAGGGTAGTAGGGACGTTCATCTCATTAGCCCAGTAACCAAAGTATTTTTCAGATCTTTCTCAAATTTCACAGGAACTTTGTGTAGGAGAAGGTCTGCGACGTATTTTCCGACAAATCGCATTAAAACTTAAGCATGGCTGTTTAGTGGTAGCAATGGGAAGGAGGCCACTGTAGATACCGTAGAGTAGGGATTGGATTGGGGGGGGGGGGGGGGGGGGGGGGGGGGGGGGGGTGACGGAGCCTTCAGGGAATACATTGTTGTCGTTCTGATAGCATCTGTTTCTCCATGATGGATTGTGGATGCCAGTGAACCCCAGCTGTGCGTATTAGACCTCTTGTTAGAAAAACGGTAGGTGATACAATCAGGAAAGATCTCACTCTTCTGCTGGCTTAATTAACACCACCTCACTTAGTCTGCGATGGTCGCACCCAAGTCTCATTGTGTTAAATTAAATTGGCAGCAAATTGCCTTGTTAGAAGTGATTTTTGTTGAAATCATGCTCTCTGCCATGTGGGAAGAACATTAGCTGGGTAGGTGTTTATTGCTTAACAAGGGTTAATATACATAGTGCAGGGGACCATAGCCAACCTTAAGTTAAAAATGGAAATAATTAAAATAATTAAGCTTTACTGGGAATTGGTCTAGAGCAGTGTTTCCCAACTGGGTCCTCAGGAACCCCAGGCAGCCCACATTTTTGCTGCCTCCCAGCTCCCTGCCAGGCAGTTGACATTTTTGCTGCCTGATTAAATTCAGTGAGCACCTATACGTTTTAAAGTGCCAAAGGAGAGAGTAAATTGGCTAAGCCTGTAATGTATTATTATAGTTTCTGCCCCTGAGCGTAACGGGAGACACATCAGTAAGTAGCCAGTAAACGGCGTCGAGCGGCACACAGGAAAAAGCCAGTCGCAGCAGCTCACTGATTGATATTGTCCTGATCTGTCGATCTTTATGGCCCTGATGCATTAAGCTGATTTACTGCGCTGACCTTGCATCGGCAGGGTCGGGGCCAGGCCAGGTCAGGTCGGGTGGGCGGGGCTCGCTGTCTGCGGTGGGTATTACAGACCTGCCCATTTCCACTCGCCACGTTTCATCCTCCCTTTCCTGATTCCTAGAAGCACGTCCCCCCCCCCCCCAAGCCTAGTGGCTAGCACTGGGAATATCTGCAGACCATAAGCAAAAAAAATGCAGAAATCAGTGAATCATTGCACTTCCGTGGTAATTAGCTACTGAAATGCCAGACTGGTTCAGCTTCTGCTAATAAGACGCTTTTTAAAATTTACTTCTTTTTAATGAAAAACTTTGGTTTGTTGGAAGGGGCATTCTGGCGTGACTGGGGGGGGGGGGGGAGGGGACCTTGCGCACTTTACTTTGAGATAATGAGGATGCAAAGCGGCGCGTCTCAAACGCACATCTACACCGCCCGTGTCGGATGGCGCGTGCCACGTTTTTTGGGAC